TTACCATTGTGTATGAAATGTGCTATACAAATAAACTTGCCTTGCCTTGCCTTGCCTAGTCAAAAGTTTGGAATTGGTGTATATATTCTGAAATTTAAAATACGCATTAGTTTGAAATTACCAGAGGATTTATCATTACACTGCAGAGTTAACAGCTATAATAATAGGACCAAATAGAACCAAATAGAGTAGTAATATGTTCAGATTCTTCTTCAGCTTTAATTAGTTTAATGCATGCAAGATCAGACAAAGAAGATTTATTAATGGAAATATATCTATTCAGTTGAAAGAGGCTGGAATAATGGTATATTTTTGTTGGGTGCCAGGCAAGCACATGTCGGGGTATCTGGTAATGAAGTTGCTGATAAACTAGCAAAAAAAGCACTAGACGATAGAAGTGGATGTTAAAGTAACTATGGGATAAAAGGAGGCAAAATTAATCTTAAAGAAAAAGTTAATGAATAAATGGCAAATTAGATGGGATAATAGCAGCACAGGGAGATGGTGTTATAGTATTGCACAGACAGTATGGGAGGATAAATTGTCAGGGAAGAAATAGGAAAGAAGAGGCTGTCTAGATTAAGACTGGGACCCACAGGGTTGAAATCAACACTGGCACTTATGGGTTTGCATGAAAATGGGTTATGTGATGCGTGTGGTGTACCAGAAAATGTACATCATGTGCTTTTTAGGTGTGGTAAATATAGTGTATATTATGATATATTATTTAGTCACTTTAGGGAGGAGGGGACGATGCATGAAGATATTTTAGGAAAAGGTTTAATGGATAGACAGGTATACAGAGCATTAATTAAATATATATGACTCAGGTTTAGGATCTAGAATATAATTTGTGTGGATGGGAATAGTCTGGAGCATGAAGAGCTAATTGTAAGTTTCAGAGGAGGTAAAAACGCAGCGCTATCATGAGAATGTGCTCTGAGTGCTCCATAGATTGGAGAGAAACATTCACACGTTTTTTTAAGTATACATTTCTGGCCCACACTCCAACACAGTAGGTGGCGGATATGCACCTTAAATGTTAGTTGCCACCCGCCATTATAAAAAGACGAAGAAGAAGAAGAAGAAGAAGGGATGGCTGGGAGTTGATAATATTTCTTTAAAAGTATAAAATAGGTAAGCATGAATCGGGAAAGTGTGACAAATGTGGAGAATTAGAAACAGTGAAACATATTATTTTTGAGTGTTCTGCATATGAAAGGGAGAGATTTCAATTAATTCAAGAATTAGGATGGCTGGGAGTTGATAATATTTCTTTAAAAGTATTGTTAGGAAATGGGTCAAGGCAATCAAGAGTGCATGAAATATTATTTAAATACCTGAAAAACACAGGAACAATGGATAGAATCTAGTTTTTTTTTTTTCCTTCGTCCAAATCTATACTCCACACTCCAGACTTGCTCCAGATCAGTAGGTGGCGGTAATGCACCTTTTTTCGCTGGCTTGCCAAACTGCCATAAAAATTTACATTTTCCATTACCCACATGTGCAAAGTTTGGTGCAGAAGGAAAATGAAAATGAAATTATATTACTTACATTTGCCATTTCCAACAGTAGTCTTAATATGTAAAGTGCATACTGTTTTAACGCTTTATATGTTGCGAAATTAAAATTAAAATGTATAACCCAAATTGATTTTTCTTGTCGGAAGGAGGGACTTTGTAGAAAACGAAGCGTTTGAGAGAGGCGGGGCATAGAGGACCTACAATAATGTACAGTATTTGAAAAATAATATGTTTTTTGAAAATTAAAGCATGTCAACATATTCTGTTACACCAAATACACAAAATAATGATCTTTAAAAAAGCATCATATGACCCCTTTAAAGTTAAAGACATTGCGGCCTTGTGTGGAGTTAGTCGCTGGATGGTACATCGACGAATGCAACAGTGTGGACTAAGGTAAACATCAACTTAAATATTTTTTTTTATGGTTTCATATAACGTTAAACATCTGAAGGCCATAATTTCTGTTTACCTCCAAACTCCGTCATCATGGGTGACCTTCTGATTACAAGTCCCGACTCTCTTAACAGTATGAATGCCCTCTTTTTTGAAGCATCAGAGAAACGCATACAGCTGACTTGAATAATCTGATAGAAATTTAACTAGGACATTCAGATATGACTTCAATAAATAAGAAACTTCACAGAGGCATGTTTAGGTCTTTACATAATTCTGTTCATCTCACAAATATCTGATGCATCTAATGCCACTTATCACACAATTATCCACCTGTTCCACAGAGTATCAGAGTTATACTCTGGCATTAACGATACAGACCTGGATCGTTTGGTGTTGGAAATTCAAAGGGAACACCCACGGTGTGGATACCGTATGATGAGAGCTTTTCTCCAAGCAAGTGAGCATTTGATTCAGTGTAAGTTTGTTTTTGTTACATACTTGCAGGCTTGTTTATACTTATGTGTTGGACCTATGGCAGACCTGCATAGCCACTATGCCAGGGATCACCAGCCCTGCTTCTGGAGGGCTACCGCCCTGAAAGTTTCAGCTCCAACCCCAATCAAACACATTAGAAACACCCTCGCATTAGCGGTAACTAGTTTTATTTATTTTTTTGTAATTTGATGCAAGGGTAATATAATACAAAGTATAGTGTAATAAATGTTCATACAACATTTCTGTCAACCCGGTTATTATTTTAATAACATTATCTATGGAAAAGGATTATATCTGTCATTCTAATAAAGTATTAACCTTTTGTACTCTGGCTTCTAGTTCATTTATTTGAACTACCTGTGTTAAAGATATCATTGTTAGGGTCCCTTACCCTAGAAAGTGGGGGTGGCGTAGTAAATTTGGCCGACATTCCTAACAGCCATATATTTGAGGTCACACATGCATGACAAAATGTATGACAATAAAAAAGTGAGAGAAACAAGTAGTTTTCATTGCATACTGTAATTCCTACATATGCAATCATCTGCAACTAAACATCAAATGCACATTACATTTTTGTTTTGTTTTTAAAATTAAACATTTACAATAGCACATTTGACCTGTTTGAATATATTCATGCAAGAAAGCCGTAACATCACAAGATTGCTCCAGGTTCAAAGGGGGTTCATCTTCATCACTGTCAGGTTCTGGCCAGATGGCTCTCCTAAGTATCATCTAATACAAAGATAGCAGCACTGAATACAAGCCTTAATATAGAGTTGAAACAATGCAATTCATTGTAGGGTGTCAGACCGAATCAGGCAATTTAAGATTCAATCAAGAACATGGTTGAAACACGAGGAGCCGAATTCCACAGAAAGGCCCAAGACACAGGATGTTCGTAAATCAGATCCTGGCGCCACAAGCCTGAAGCAAGTCCACCAACTAGCAGCTTTGAGTAGCTCACAGCATTTAAACAAAAGAACACTTATTGACAATTCCAAGGAGATTGTCAATTTTGGGGCAAATAATCAAGATTAATGGTCAAAGAAATGCACAGCATGACCATCACATGTAAACCAGGGTCTTCACAGAACATGTCCACATACATCCACAGAATGGCACAGAAACTGCCTTTCCCTGTATATACGCACCTAAATGACACTAAAAGCCTTATTTATATTGAAAAGAGAAGTATCTTGTGTTTTGTGCTTACAAGTTAATGTCTTAAACTGCCGATCTTGTTACTGTGCTAATAAATAGTGTTTTCACTATACTTTGGATATTAATATCCATTGCAGAGTTGATGTTGTACGGCTCGTTCAATGAATCGCTGGCCGTCTCAGTGATCAGCCGTAAAACAGTGATTCTGTCCAAATTCCCTTTAAAATCTTAAATGATTCCCTTTGAGCTAAATTGACCTGTTTCCCTTACATCATCCACTGACCTTGACCTATTACAAACAACCCACCAACTGGGCTATATGATTAGACTTTTTTTATATGCATTACAGAAAATTAAATGCTTGATTTAGTGCAATGGCTTCCATACGGTCTATTCTCCTAAGTAGAATACACCAATTACCTCTGGTTCCATCAGCAGTGCAGAAGATCTGGGAAACAGTACTGCAGTTAAACTGGGTCGTTCTTTTATCATTCTCAAAACACCTGCATCTTTGAGTCCTCTCCGCAGCTGAGAGATCTGTTTTTCACGTCGACCAATAACCTAGAAATGATCCACAAACAGTACAAATTATAAACACTATGCAAGCCATGATGAAAGATTTAAGCTTTAGTCCTAACTTAATGGTTATGTAAAGAGGCTTATGTAGAGTTAGAAAAAGTTCAAGTACATACCCAACTGCAATTAACAAATACTTCCACCTTTATATGATAAGATATACATACCCCATGGTGGAGAATGGTTTCTGCCAACCACCTTCTGTTGCTGTTGCTGACTGCTGGCAAGTCCCAGTTGATGGCCAGGTTGTTGATATTATCTATTTCATTCTGATTCAGTTCATTCTGGCTTTCCAGCTAAGATTTACACAAAGTGTGAAAAGGTAAGACTTGAAAGGGTTTAAATGTTTACTCATTATATATATATATATATATATACATACAAGGGACACAACTTCAATCACATCTGTATCAGGACAGTCCTTCATTCCAAAACTGGAGTATCATCCTTACTGCCACTTAAAAGGGGGAAAAAGCTGGACTAAGTCCTAAGTAGAGTGGACCTTCATTAATAAATGTATGTCCAATCATTCTTCCCACAACTCTGAACAGATCACCATCCAAGAGTGCTCTGGATGTTGAAGGAACCTTGTGATCATCTTCGCCATTGAAGAGCAGCGTTTTGCCACAGTTATCTGAAAAATTTATAACAAGTAAAATGCACTCAGATGAGCATGCTTAATCATCCCTTCCTATATTATCTATGCTCATAACTATTAAATCTACTAAAACAAAAAAAAAAAGCTAAAATGTATTACATCCTGTATGTCTGTATTTCTAACAGTGACTAAAGTGGAGGTCAAGGAAATGGTATGGCCAAGGTCTGTACAGCATTTCAAAATGTTTTCAATTATAACTCGCCAATGTCAAGTTCAAATCCATGGTGGAGCTTTTCCATTATCAATGTGAAAAAGTGCCGTTTTACTCCATCCCCTAATGCAGCATCTCCTGTTTTTAATAGAGATTACATACAATTTAATAATCCTCAAAGTACTAATGCAATCAAGCAGAGCAACTTCGCACCAATAAATACATACCTTTAAGTTTTACAGTTAACGGACTTGTCCAATCAACATTTGGACGTTTATAAAAAGCTAACATTTCTCGTTCACGATCCTTTTCACAGCTGTGCAGATCTAGTGTAACAACTAGGTCTGGTTTTTCATCTGCATTCTTTAAGATCTGTCTTCGATACATCCGGGCAGCTGATTCAAGATCCGGTTCAATCTTCCACTCTATGAAAACACAGATTAGTGATAACAATTCTTCAAAAAGATACGATTAACTGTGATATAATTAACATCCCTGATAGTCCTGTTGTTTTGTAGTATGAGAAAAATTATTTGTATGCTAAAAAAAAGCTAATACAGAGAAAGGTGTGCTCAGTGGTATGGTCAATTCGATAGAGACACCTTCAGTGGCAGGCTCCGCTGATGGGCTGGTACTGGCTGAGAAAACAGTATTGAGTGATGTTGAGGCCCTTTCCTCCCTTTCAGCATTATCCTCTGACATGGTTGCTGCCATTTCTTCCTGTCTTGTACTGCCAGTGCTATCTGATATCACTTTGCCTGACTCATGAAACCTGATATAACCATAACGACAGTACAGCAGCTAGATTAGTGAAAGATATAAAATTCAACATCACTCTCTTTGCAGCTGTATTACAAACCCTCCCATAGTACCATCAAATGTTTTGTAATTGACTTAACTTAAAAAGTTATGAAACTTCTAAATGAATGAATTAATTGAATTTTTCGCAAACATCAACATGGTCTTGTATTTCTGATAGGCTATACTTCTCATTGCAGTACAAGCATTCTGTCAGTGGTCCAGATGATATAGGCTGGTCACTCTCAAGAGTCTGAATCATTGTAAGAACATAAAAAGTCACATTAGCAGATAGATAGTAGGGTTAGCTTATACAAAGAAATATTATTTTAGGGATATCCTAAATCACTTTATTTAAAACTAGTGCATCACTTAATTTTGGTAGTTTAAACTTTCTCAACATCCAGAGTATTATTACTAACCAGAGATTTTAACCTTTTCCTACCTACCTGCAGATCTATATCTTTCTGGAGTGGCCTGATATATATGAGAGCCTGCCCAACTTTGACAGACTCACTTAAGAGGTACTCAGGGGAATACCCATCATCTGGACAGGGTATTGTCTCTAATTTTTTGGAACGTGTTGATCCTCTGGATTGCAAGAGCTGGAAACCGCCACAATCTTTCAACATAGGGAAATGCTGAAAGAGATGGTCTGAAAACTCCTGAGGAGTGCAGTATTTGTCTAAAACAAAGATAAAATAAAAATGCAAGTTAAATTATGATTTCAGGTGAATAATACATTAATGTAAGCATGATTTAAGCAAACCCTTTCATCTGGGGGGTAGAGAAAAAAAAATTAACTGACTATTACCTGGAATGGTAATCCTCTTCTCTCCTATTCCTGCCCTCTCTAATTTGTTTTTCACTGATGGACTTGGCACCTCACATTCCTTTCTCTTGGACAGGCAAAAAAAAAAACGATGGGTGTAGGAAACACTTTTAGATTTTTTTGCTGAAGGTGCAGCGGTGTTGTGACGTTTCGGCACACAGCCCCGTGAATTTGAATATGGTGCAAACAATCTTAAAACTTCTGCTAAAATAAAATGGTCATACATTATGAACATTATATTTTAGTAGTTTGTATTTTAATAAATTGACTGTGTAATTCAATGTCAGGGCTGCCAACTGTATTAACCAGGATTTAAACACATGCGAATGTGGGAGATCATGCGAGGAATTCGATTTCGCTGCTTCACGTTTGGTGAACTCTGACCTGCGAAATTGTGCGAATTCGTATCACGTGACCAATACCGATCACAACGCGACCTTTAGCTGTATTAAAAGAATAATAATAAAGAAGCGGCAGCCACAATGCGCCAGCGTTCTCTTCGCCGGAAGCCGGAAGTCGTGTTTACTATTCTAGCCTACATCTTAAAATAAGAAACTTTTTGCAGTAAAGTGAAGCTTTGGATATTTTGACGTTTTGGGTTGATTATTACATTTTTTTGTTATGTAAGCTACGCGTGCTCAAAGTGCAGTGTCACCGCGGCTAAAGCCGTCGTCCCATTGTTTTGTCCAAAACGAGCACTTCTCATACAGACGATGGTCAACGAATGTGATCGTCAGTAACAACCCACCTCCCCAGACCCCAAGTGAAAGTTGGCAACCCTAGGCCAAACTGTTGCCTTGGTCTTTATCTGCCAACTTACCCCGTGTCCCACCACTTCGATCCGGAGGTGTCGCGCTCAGACCAGACGATGGATTTTCTGAAGGGCCAACATTTGCAGTTTGCCGCTCCAGTGCTTGGGCAGCTTCTCGGAGAAGAACGACTTCACCATGTTCCCTCCCGCCAATTATCAAAATACCCACGACAACGCAAAGTAAGCCCCGCCTTGACGCAATGATTGATGGAGGGTGGGCGCGGTCAGCTCGGAATGCATTTTCAAAGCCGCACCGAATTTTGCTACAAATATCCCACGGTGTCATGATGAAAATGCAATCGTAAGTGTCCTAACTGTTAGTCTAAACGCATTTAGGACAAATAACATTTAAATGATCATTTTGCTACTATTTCTGCTTGGACATGTTACACATATCAAATCAATTTGGGTTATACATTTTCATTTTCATTTCGCAACATATAAAGCGTTAAAACAGTATGCAATTTACATATTAAGACTACTGTTGGAAATGGCAAATGTAAATAATATAATTTCATTTTAATTTTCCTTCTGCACCAAACTTTGCACATGTGGGTAATGGAAAATGTAAATTTAAATACAGAAATACATTGCCATTTTGAATATTGCGTTGCCATTTTGAATATTGCATTGCCATTTTGCATATTACATTTCAGATTGAATTTTGCTACACATATGCTTCCATAATAGAGAAGACCTGCTAGTAGAAATTTATACATTACTGTACAGACTGAAAATAGAGGGTATAATCGTATATACTTTTGTTGGGTACCGGCACATATTGGGATAGTAGGAAATGAAACAGCAGATAAGTTAGCAAAAGAAGCTTTAAAGAAAAACTTGGTGGATGTTAAGGTACCTCTGGGAAGAAATTAGATAAAATCAGTAATTAATAGGGAAATAATAAGAATATGGCAACAAAGATGGGAAAATAGCAGCACAGGTAGGTGGTATTATAATAAAATCAGTAGGGGGAAAAGAACAGTTTTATGGAAGACACAGAAAGGAAGTAATGATTTCTAGATTAAGGATGGGTCACACAGGACTAAATTCAACACTTGCATTAATGGGAAAGCATGAAAATGGTATGTGTGATGAATGTGATGTTTTTGAAACAGTAGAGCATGTGCTGTGAAGTGGTTCGTTTAGTCATGGATGTTAATGGAGCAGCAACGGTGCTGAAGTTCTTGATGAACCGCCGATAGAAATTTGCAAAGCCAAGGAAGCGCTGTAATTCCTTCACAGTACGTGGTTGTGGCCAATCGACTACTGCCCTCACCTTATGATCATCCATAGCCACTCCCTCTTGACTGATGACATACCCCAGAAATGACGTTAAAAAACACTAAGGATTCAACTCCAGGACAAGATGGAATTAGTTATGTAATGTTAAAAAAGTTAAGTGATGAATCTCTTAAAATCATTCTAGAGTTTTATAACAGGGTATGGGAAGAAGGGACTTTACCTAAGAGCTGGAAAGAAGCTTTAATAATTCAGAAAAAACCAGGTAAAGACCCAAGTACACCTTTAAAGGGGTCATATGATGCGATTTTTTCTGCGAATTTTTCCTTTCTCTTTGGAGTGTTACAAGCTATTGGTGCGTAAAGAAGATCTATAAAGTTGCAAAGACTAAAGTCCCAAACCCAAAGAGATATTCTTTTTCAGATAAAAACCCAGGTACACCTTTAAACTATAGACCGATAGCATTAACTTCACATTTAGGTAAATTACTGGAAAAAATTATTACAGATCGTTTAATGTACCAAATGGAGAAAATGAATTTTTTTCCCCCATATCAAAATGGTTTTAGACATGGAAAGGGAACAATGGACTCAGTTATTAATTTGGAATCAGATATTAGGAAAGCTTTGATAAATAAAGAAACCGTAATAGCAGTTTTCTTTGACGTGGAGAAAGCTTATGACATGTTATGGAAGGAGGGTTTGTTGATAAAATTAGATCAAATTGGAATAGATGGAAAATTATATAATTGGATTAAAGAGTTTTTAAGTGATAGAAATATTAAAGTAAAGATTGGGGAATGTATATCAAGGAAAGGAACAATTGAGAATTGAACTCCTCAAGGGAGTGTCATAAGTCCTTTGTTGTTTATTATTATGATAAATAATGTATTTGCAACATTAGATAGAAATATAAATAAATCGTTGTTTGCAGATGATGGAGCTCTGTGGCTTAGAGGTAGGCATGTAGATTATATTGTTAATAAAATGCAAACAGCTGTAAATAATGTTGAGAGGTGGTCTTATAAATGGGGTTTTAAATAACAATTAAAGGTCAAGTATAAATTTAAAGATGAAGTTATATAATAAAGAGTTAGAACAGGTTAAAGTGATAAGATTTTTAGGTATGTGGTTTGATACAAAAGCTACATGGAATACACATAAATAAGATGGTGGATAAATGTAATAAGATTTTAAATGTAATGAGGTGTATTTCAGGACGTGAATGGGGAGCTGATAGATTGGCATTAAAAACGATTAATTCGACAATGATAAGAGCAATATTAGATTATGGTTGTATGACATACAGTTCAGCTACTAAGTCACAATTAGGAAAATTAGAGAGACTTCTATCACAAGCTTTGAGAATTTGCTGTGGAGCTTATCCTTCTTCTCCAGTTCCAGCGTTACAGGTAGAGATGGGGGAGATGCCAATTAAATTAAGAAGAAAGCAACTGATACTGGCATATTGAGCAAACCTTAAAGGTCAGAAGGATAGTCACCCGACAAAAGGTATAATTGAGGCATGTTGGGAACACGGGAAAAGGAAAGTTTTGGATGGATCATTAAGGACTTAGTGCAGGACATGAAATGAAATGAGTACAGTGTCATTCCAGCAGTAATATGACCAGCAACGCCAATATGGATTTTACCACAACCAAATATAGATCTATTCTTATTGGAATCAAGACAAGATAAGGATCAGAGTATGTTAGAAGCAGAGATGACAAAAGAATATATTGGATACAAGTATGAACAATATATACAGGTTTACACAGATGCATCTAAGGATCCACAGAATGGTCAGGTGGGGTAGCATATATCATTCCAAGGTTGAAAGTAGCAAGAGGGAAAAGAATAACAGATCATGTTTCTGTGTTTACAGGAGAGTTAATAGCAATTGTTAGCAATGAATAAAATATAGATATGGAAATAATGTATAGCAAAGCAGAACTCAAATCAATATTAAAAAGGGAGATAAATAAAAACTGGCAATCTTATTGGGATAATGAACAAAAGGGAAGGCATCTACACTTAATACAACCATTGGTAGGAAGAGGAAGGAACAACTCAAGAGGGAGAAGGAAAGAAGACTGTGTTATTTCTAGATTAAGACTTGGACATACAGGTCTTAATTCAACAATGCATATAATAGGAAAACACCCTACAGGATTGTGTGATTGGTGTGGTATTAAAGAAACAGTGGAACATGTACTCATTAAGTGTAATAGATATTCAGAGGAAAGAAGTAATCTAATAGAAGAATTTAAGAAGAAATGTGTTAAACAATTAACATTAAAAAAGCTTTTAAATCCAGTTGAAGGGGATAATTTATTAATACAATTTTTAAATAGAACTCATTTAATGAATAGAATATAGATAGGCTATTGTTATTATTAATAATGATAGTAATGGTAGTGATAGTGATAATAATAGTAGTAGTAGTATTAATAATAATAATAATAATAATAATGTTGTTATTTCTCCTCTCTGGACTGTGATGGACTTGGGCTGTAGATGGAGGAGCTGAACACGCAGCAACATTGAAAGCACGAGTCCCGAATGGTCTGGGGAGTAGGGTTATAGTGTCTCTGATCCATTACCACAGCAGATGGCGGTAATGCTCTTTTAAGAATGCGAACCGCCAATAAGCTCAAAGAAGAAGAAGAAGAACGATACAAGAAGAAGAAGAAGAAGAAGAGGAGGGGGTTGCGCCGCGGTCCTGTGTTTGTTGTGATTCAGCTGAAGAAAGGTTTGTGTTTCTAAACATGTAGGAGTTTAACCCGATATAAAAAGTTATTTAGTCAACTTTACAGTTGACCGGAGCTTTCAACTGCTTTAATTGTTATCGAATGTAACGGTCAAGTGCTTTATTTTATTTTTTAAGCGCATCCACACATGAGAAACAGAACTGGTATGTCATTTGTACGAAGCTGTCTTGTTTCAGAAAAGCGATCATTACATTACAAAGTAAGAAAGAAATTAAAGTAATAATTACTCTTCGCAAGGATTATGTCAGTTTTATAATGGCGGTTTTCTGGCGACAACTGCTGTTCAAAACAGCGTAAACCCAAGTAGAACACAAACATGTTACAATGACCCATTTTAAACCAACTACGAATGGTTTGTTGAATGTGTAATCTGTTAAATGTAATATGCAGTACTGACTAGAGAGCTGATACTACCCAGATCTTTCTCTACCCAGAAATTTAGGTTGTATTTATTTTTCTTTCCGTTAATTATTCTCATCTCAAACATAACAGTGTCCAGAAAAATCTCCCATTATAAAGATGGCGTTTATTAAAGAGGAGAGTGAAGAGATGAAGATTGAAGAAGCATTCGGTGTGAAAGAGGAAGATACTGAGGAACAAACAGGTTGGTTTCAAATTAAAGGTGAACTTGGTCATTTCATCCTTATTAAAATGTTGACCACTACAGAAATGCTGTTTATTATTTATAGCTAAATAATACCACTTTCATAACAACAACACACGTGTCTGTTCTGCTTATTGAATACAATTTCATTTATTCATATAATTATTTACAGGTAGAACACCGCAACGAGGCAGAGGTCAGACGCGTGAAGCACATCGACATGGTCCTGCTGGTGACCAGACACGGGCCGCTGTGAACCATCCAGCTGAAGATCCTGAACCTGTTCATGAGTGGCATGAAATGAACTGGCAGCCAAAAAACCTTCCCTTCACTGAGAATCCTGGGCCTGTCGGTGATGCTGCTGCTCTTGATTCAATAGAACCTAAAGACTTTATTGAGCTGTTCATTTCTGATGAACTGATTCAGAACATTGTTGATCAGACCAACCTGTATGCAGATCAGTGTATTCAGGCTATGGACGGTACTTCACAACATGCTAGAATTCATGCATGGAAGCCTGTCACAGTTTCAGAAATGAAAGTCTTCCTGGGGCTGTTTTTTCTCACTGGTATCATTCATAAGCCTGAACTTGATATGTACTGGTCTACAGATGAAATGTTAGCTACCCCCTACTTCAGCAAGGTCATGTCTCGCAACAGGTTTGAAATCATATGGAGATTTCTTCACTTTAATGATAATACAGCAAGGCCAGCCAATGACACTGACAGGCTGTACAAAGTCCGCCCTGTCTTAGATCACCTCGTGTCCAAATTCCGTGAAATGTATCAGCCTAACACAAACATTTGCATTGATGAGGGTATGCCACGTGGGCGCCTAGCTTTCAGGGTGTACAATCCTCAAAAACCCATCAAATCCTACATCTTGTGCGATTCTGAAACAGGTTACTGTTTTAACATGAAGCCCTATTGTGGAGAAAGTGCTGCCCTGAAAGACACGGTTGTCTCTCTTCTTGATCGTCTAGCAGGTCATGGTTACAGATTATTTATGGATCATTTTTACAACTCTGTACAACTGTGTAAGCACCTACTTGATTTGAAAACCCATGTCTGTGGTACAATTAGGAAAAACAGAGGTGAACCACCAGTCATTCGAGATCTCAGAAATGCTGACTTTAGGATTGGGGAAACAGTAATGTGTCACACTGAAAATGTGATGGTCTTGGCATGGCGAGACAAACAAACAGTGAAAATGGTCACAACATGCCATGAGAACAAGATGGAAGAAGTTGAGGTATGGCAGAGAGGCCACCAAGAAAAAATTGCAAAGCAAAAACCAGCATGCATTGTGGAATACAATAATGCAATGAATGGAGTTGACAAATTGGATCAAAACATTAAGTACTACCCTTTTGTCAGGAAGTCACACAAGTGGACAAAGAAATTTGTCACATATCTGTTGCAGATCAGTCTGTTCAATGCTTTTGTCATTTACAAAGCAAAAAACCCACAAGGTAATTGTAAAACTCTACTCTCTTTCATCCAAAGTGTTATAAATTCATGGACCAGCAAAGAACAGGCTGGTGGTGGGGAAGAAAGAGATGACCCTCCAACTGAAAACACTCCTAGAGCACCATACAACACTGACCCTAGAAATAGGGTAAATGACCTTTTTGCAGTTCATGCACTTGTTCCGATTGCATCCACTTCCAAAAAGCAACACCCGACGAGAAGATGCAGGGTTTGTGCACGTAATGGTTTGCGAAGTGAGACCTCGTTCTACTGCAAAAGTTGTGGCGTCCCCTTACATTCTGGGAATTGTTATACAGTTTACCACTCAAAGATAAAATACAGTGCCTAAATTTTATTTTCCAATTTTATTTATTTTCAATTTTTATTTATGAAAGAATATGACATCTGAATGTATTTTGCTTCAAAATGCAGTACTTTGATTAAAAAAAAATTTTATCTGTTTTTTGTACAAAATGTTGTGTTTTTGATGAAACCTATCTGCATTCAAGTGGTGATAAAACATGAACACATAAAGATAGAATAAAATAGTTTTTTTTTTTTCGTTTAAAAGCAGAGGCTCGGTTCTTTATTTTGATATATAATATGTTCATATATTCATAGCAGAAAATATTCTGAGGGCCGTCAAATTTAGATGAAAATAATCAGAAATGCTGGCGGTGGCTGGCAACTTTTTTTTTTAAATGCTGGCGGGGAAAGAGTTAATAATCTCAATAAATCATAAACAGTCTCTGAAGAAGAGATTCCAGATTTCTCCATATGTACACATGCACTCTGTAAGGCTAATGTTGCTAAAGCTACCATTGTCTCTCCCTGATTTCAGTAATGCGGCCTTCACGTGCTAACAGAATGACCGTAAATAGGAATGTGGTAGTTAAAAATTGCATATGAAAGCAATGTTAAGTTGACCGGTTGAATTTGTCGAGCTCATAATCACAAGTGGGACTTATAAAGTTTGTCATAGCACACGAAGGCACCACAAGACCAGCTACGTCATTAATTTTATCGTGCTGTGCTCCCCGTCTGTGTAATTCATAAACGTACATTTATTATGCACAGTAAAATCAGATGACAGACTTTTAAACCAAGTATGTTTTCTGTAAAGATAACGGGCTTGTACTAATAGAGACAGCTATTTGATTTTAGCTAGTAATTTGATGCTATAAAAACGGGGCATGTCGTTATGTTTGATTGGGTCTGCGCGAGTTTGGGCGCGAGTTACTGCACAGACTCTGGCTCCAAATGAATCTCTACTGCGCAGACTCTGGCTTCAAATGACGTCATTTACTCAAGATGGCAGCGGCCATACTGAGATGCTTTGGCTTCACTTTTCTGTAGTGGAAGGAATAGGAGACGCATCGTCCATATTTTTTTACAGTCTATGGCTTGGACCCTGATGATCGCCTCAAGTTAAACTGCATTGTTTCAGTTCCCTTCTGTGTCGTTACCCACAACGCTTCGGTGACAAGACTTTGAAATAACGAACAGGGAAAACAATAAAAGGCACGACTTATTTTGCATCCAGACAGGCAGCAGCTAGTGAGGCTGGGAAAACTCACATCTTTGTTAAGTTTTTACTATTTAAATGTTTTTTTTTCTGTTCTCATGTCAGATATGTATGTATGTACCAGGAGCACCTTAAAAAAAAAACCCACAACAAATTCCTCGTGTGTTTGCACACACCTGGCGAATAAAGCTAATTCTGATTCTGATTCTGAGCTAGCCAACTCCATCCAAGCTCCATGATCCTTTTTTTTCTTCTTCATTTGAGCACCTTGTGAAAGGATTTTTTGTAAACTTAAAATCGAATTTACTTTTATATAGGAAGAGATATTGCGCATATTTGACAGTCGAGAACGGTCCAATCACATGAGGCCAAAATATATAAAACAATATTGATTTGCTAAAATCAAAAGTGGAAAGGTCTGGGACAATCTGAAACAAGCCAATTAGAGCTCAGCCTCAAGTCACATGCATTTCAAAAGTTTACAGACCTAATACACACCCATTTGTCCGGCACACACAAAAGAAATGAAATAAAGGTTTGATTTTTTTTTTTATAGGTACCAACATGACTACCAGTCGAATAGTATGACTAAATAATGTAACTTTGTGATTTCATTGCAATATATATTTAACTTATTCCAGTGTTGGGCAAGCTACTTAAGCTAACAGTTACTCATCATTAAATGAAGCTTCACTACACTAAAGCTACAGCCCTGGGAAATGTAGCAAGCTAAGCTACGGCAACATTGCAAAAGTAGTTTACTACATCTAAGCTATTTCTTTAAAATGTCATTTTCATATTGAACCTACATCATACCAAGTCAATGCTCTCTCAGTGATCAATAAACAGTCAAACAGATAGACAGGCATAATAGTTCAGTTTAATTGTTTATTCAACAACTGTTCCAAACCAATTTGGCAACAAAAACCAGTATCATGTACAGGGCTGGATTTACCTCATATTGTGACATAGACAAAATAAATTTTTGCTGTCAGCCAGAAACCTACTATTGGTAGTTGTTATTGTGGCTTTATTGTAGGCTATACAGATACAATTATATAAATGGTAACACTTCACAATAAGGTTCATTAGTTAACTAGTGTAGTTAACATGAACTAAGAATGAACAATACTTCTGCAGCATTTATTAATGTTAACTTCAACATTTACTAATGCATTATAGACCCAACCACTTGACTGGCTCTATGACTCTCTCTCTCCTCTCCACCTGTAGCTGGTGTGTGGTGAGCGCACTGGCGCCGTTGTCCTGTGGCTGCCGTTGCATCATCCAAGTGTATGCTGCACACTGGTGGTGGTTGAGGAGAGACCCCCCCCACATGATTGTAAAGCACTTTGGGTGTACAACAATACACAATAAAGCGCTATATAAATGCATCATTCATTCATTCATTATAAAAATCTAAAGTTGTGTTTGTTAACATTAGTTAATGCACTGTGAACAAACATAAACTACCAATGAACGACTGTATTTTCATTAACTGACATTAACAAAGATTAATACTGTAATAAATGTATTGTTCATTGTATGCTCATGTTAGTTAATACATTAGCTAACATTAACTAATGAAATTTTATTGTAGTGTTACCATATAAATGTATAAGCCTACAGATAAGCTACGTTTATTTGCGTTAGTTGCATGTGTCATTATTTTATTAACATTTCACCAAAATCAAGTTCAAATACGAAGTTTTTGACCGGCGAATGTTTTTTCCCGACATTACCGCCACATCAAAGGCAGTACGGGCATCGCATTTACGTTTTCATGAACTTGTAGGTTATACAGTTTTCTGTCACTAGCTGGGTTTCCATCCAAAGTTGCGAATTTAACTTATGCGCAAAATTGAAATATCGCATAAAACATTTGTAAATAAGCACCGTTTCCATCCAACGAGTCAAAGAGAACAAAATCGTCACTTTCTGGTAGAACTGGCGCCAGGCTATTTATCACTATGAAAAGTAGGAGAAACCCCTGAATATAATAAATAAAAAGTAAATAACTCTTTCGCACAAGTCAAAAACCACCTCAAGCGAGTGTAAAAACTTTTGCGAATTAAGGGATTTTTATTCGAAATTTGCCGTTTCCATCACTCGTTTCTGATGCGATACTTCAAAATGCGCATAAAAACAGAGTGATTGAAACACAGTCTTCTCCGCTCCTCAAATACAAAAAAAACATTAGACTTTATAAATATAGTGTTTCTTCAGTAAAGAAAACGCTGTACTTATTCAATCAACAGTTCTTTATTTACCTTCAGACTGCAAACAAGCTGAGATGCTCTAAACTGCGCGCCACACTTCATTCACGAGAGAGGCGGGAGAAATAATGAGGTTTGACTGAGTTTGAGGAGCCAATGGAGTTACGGGGTTTAGTGGCGGTGGCATCACTTACTGATCCAGGATCAGTGATCCTTAGCAGTTATATTTCCGATTTGATCTCGAGCTTCAGAATGCTTTGAAAAATTGATGCTAAACTTGATGGGGGCGGCTAGGGCTGTCGCGATAACGGCAATATCGCAATACCGCGCTATTGACGAGCAAACCGCAGAGGAATGCAAGAACCGCAGCAACTGCGATTTTTGCGTGTTTTCTTTTTTCATAGGGTTATGCCCTTCTCGTTTTACACTTAGTGCATGTGTACTGAATATTAAATAAGTTAGTAATGATAACATAATGTGTACCATTCTGATTTATTTGATTTATATAAGGTCACACCTCTAATCTCTTAATTTCTAATTTTCACAGAAGGTTCTTTACATTTATGTTGGATAATTTTATGTAGAAAACAGTGAATCACAAAAAAATGACTGGTTTTCATAGAGAGGGTCATATATAATCATTTATAATAATAATTTTAGCCATTTATTTACTCACTTCAATGATTTATTCATTGATTAGTCATTTATATTATTTTTATTTTTAAATTATTGTTTCCATTGTTGTTTAGTCTTATTATTGCGTGGTTTCAAGGAATATTTATCTTCACGAGTAAGCGAAAAGAGAAATGTCTCCATTTTAAGGATTTTAGTGTCACAGGATGTTGTTGTGAAGCAGTAAACATACGCAACTAACTGGGTACAAAACAAAACACTGGTTTTGGGTACCAGACAAGACTTGCTGTTAACAGGTTTTGGGTATTAGACAACATTGCTGACTACTTGTTCTGTTATCAGAAATACAGATCTTTTCCGACAGGATCTGGCGTTCGGGCTGGATCTGATATTTCTGGCGTGGAGGCATGATCTAACACAATGAAAACTCAGTTTCAGTGAGAAGTTCCCACAAAAAAAAAAAAAATAATAATAATAATAATATGGCATATACATCATATAAAAACAAATGAATAAAATATATGGGAGCAAACTGAAACACTACAGTAATATGGGCAATTACTTTCAGTTTTCTTCCCAACATAATTATTAACTCTTCAATCAGCCAGACCAGACCAACTACTGAAAGTTTAGTTGACTGTTAGGGGGTAGTGATGTTTGTTGCTTTGTTCCATTAAAATGTGGCTAACTTTTATTTGTCTCTTTCCACTGTAGACCTGATGGCACTTAAAGAGGAGAGAGAAGTACTAGAAGAAGTGGAAGAGAAAGTTCACGATTTCAGAACTAGAGAAGAATCTTTTGAAAGTTCACAGACTGAAAAGGCTTCCTCACGAAAAAGAGCTCAAACGACAGGAACTTTCTTTTTTACTTGCTTTCAGTGTGGAAAGAGTTTCAATCAACATGAAAAACTTAAAGACCACATGAGAATTCACAATGGAGAGAAGCCTTTCACCTGCCAACAGTGTGGAAAAAGTTATACTGAA